ATAAACCGCTAATAGAGACACTTGTTCCACTGCCTTGGAGGTTTCAACCCTAGCTTGACCATAGCGTCTGAAAGGACCTCGCCCTCTGGGGATCTACGCCGAGACTTCCAGATTCTGTGCTCGTATGGTATCTTCCACCCCTGCAGTGCATTTGAGAGGCCCAGACCTATCCTACGGCACAGCATGCATGCGTATTCTGTTGTCGGAAGTACAAGGAAAACATCTTGAGATGGAATGAGAGATATTAGCTGGGAACTGTCCGATGTCTCTCCAGGTCTTCAGTTCGTTTTGCCTGTCTAAACTGCCGAGGTTACGACAACAGGCTCTGCTTGGCTTTTGGTCATCACAATCATATAGAGACGTTTGTGCTATGAGCAGTCCATCCAGGCTAAGGTTCGCCACCTAGCAATCATTTTGGCCAAGCAGATTCGCTTCTGGTCAGTTATGCACTCTGTTTTTCACCCATGCAGGTACAAAACGGTCCTTGTTGGTTCATCGTATTAATAGACTGTGGCAGTGAAAGCCTACAGCCAATGAATTGGAACGGGTGATGGGAATCGACATGAATGAGGGTTACATCCGTGGGGAATGGCGCTTATTGATTAGATATCCAAAGGATTGCTGCACAGCTGGGGAGAACAACCGCCGGATGTCACCTACCTCCTATTCCAACTTTCCGACGAGTGTTTGATCTCATTGTTGGTCTGTTGGCGCTAAGTTACCATCATCGTGTCAGCGCTCACTTGTCCATCCATTTTGGCATATGAAGCCGGGTCTTTCTTTGTTGCATACACAGCGCCTACTACCAGGCTGGTTTACGCCATTCACACCGTCATCCGGCAAAGAAAGGAAAAGAAAAGATGAAAGAGGGCGGGAGAGGGATGTAGATGAAAACCATACGCATTGTACAGAAGTAGCTTTCAACTATATCGCTGTATGTGAACCTTGCGCTTTCGGAGGATCGTCATGTCGATGACGAATTCTGGGATGGGATTTCTGGGATGGGAACCATGACTCAGGCTCCCTAGACAAACGCCATTCACATTCCCCATTGTAAAACTTTCACCCGTTAAATGCGTTCCAGATTATGGAAATGACATACCATCCGGGCCAGCCGAATATCAATCCCGACTTGAGTTCTTCGAGGACAGTATCCCGGCATTGATGAGGACGTTTGTGGATGTGCCGAGTCGCCGCCCAAGTAAGTCATCCCTCGCCGCGGCTTCCCAGTTGATCAGATGTAATGAGAGTCTGGCATCAGTTCTAGAACCGAGGCTAGTCCTTCCATGCAGACTGATCCATTTTTAAAGGATATACCCCCCAAAATCACGCCACTACTTGGGATCATACAGGGGTATTAGCTGGGAGAGTGGGACTCATCATTGAGATCGGGCCGAATGCAATGGCCCACTGAGAACAGGTAAGTTAGTCAAAGGCATGATCTGTGAAGGATTGGGATCCCTACGAGTAATTCTATAGTGACATAACCGGATGTATAGGTGTGTCCCTCGGCCGAGTTTTCTTGAGATGTGCAACTACTTGAAGCATCCCATTGGTCTTACTCCGACCGTTGGTGACTAGTCTGAGTGGTCTTGGGAAAGAATCGATAGTGCGAAGTTGAAAGACTGGGGTGCATGTGGGGGTTTACCCAGTCAGATCAAAAGCCTTTATCTCCAGTAGCTAACTGCTGGAAAAATAAGAGGCAGTATACGCAATGATTGCAAAACGAAGAGGTTGGTAAATTAGGATGCGATAATCTGTTGGAAGAAGACATTTCCTAATTTCAGCAGGCCAGGATACCGCTCTTAAGGAACCCTCAAAGTATATATCACGTTATTCTCATTATTCATGAGTGTAGGGAGGAGTATCAGGTGATTGTTACCGTATGTGCTCTCCATGCGGTTCGTGCTTAGTCACTGACCGCCTGGGCCACAATAATCGAATGCGTCAAATTATCTGTTGCATTGCCTACTGTCGATCGCAAAAGTAATCCTGATCACCAATGGTTCCGGAGCAAAGGGTGGAGACAAGACATAAGCAGAATGTAGCGAGGCAGGAAATTTACTACCTCCCCAGGACCTGCGACCGACCTATGATCAGTGGGAGGAGCTCTAGATGGTCACAGGATGGAACGGCGCGTCCCGACAGTCTGTTACCCCTTGCCAGCCCCTAACTAATAACTCAATCATGACCAAACATTCTCACCACAGTGACATGGGGTAGGGCGCATGAAGGGCAAAGGTTTACCTAGAAGCTGCTGCTTTATCTTAGTCCTTTGTCCATTGCATAGGAACGACCATGGCTTTTGTTACAGAAAGCGTCTTCTTTTGTCCATATAGCCGAATGGTACGGCACGTATCTCAGCTTCCCCCGCAGCAACAAGGTGTGTTCAGAACGCCTGCGGATATATCGTATCCTCGTAAAGACCCGCATCTAGGGCCTGCTAAATGAGTGGGATCTAAACGGATTTGGCCTCATCTATCACCTGTCAACAACCAACCGGAAGAGAATTTTGAGCTCCCCGGGCGCTTGACCCCAACAGACCTTGTTCCACAGGTGATGCTGTCGAGCCAACAATGTTCTCTAAGCTTTGTCCGATAGATCCACCCACCAACAAGGCGGATGTGGCGAACTCGGAGCAACTCAAGAGCTTCCGTGCCGTAATTGAGTACACCATTTCCGGGACTTCCGCACGCCCGCCTTCTTTCCCTTGCGTCACAGGGAAGCCTTCAGGTGATCAGAACAATCTTAGCCCCAAGAACCGTGCCACGGCTCAAGATCAAACTGTCATCGGGGCTTTGGAGCATGGCAAGCCTTCCTCTACAGAACAAGATTGCCTGAAAATGAGACTTTCTAGTTGACTTGCCATTCACGAAAACACTGTACTAGCATTTATCTCTCAAACTCGAGGACCTCTGGTCAGTGTTGAATTGACTCCTTCTTGTATAAGACGCATAGTCAAGATTTCATGTGCTAGGCAATCTTCAGACTTTTCATCCACGAGAAAACTGAATTGGCGTATCTTTACTTGAACATCTTTTTCGCCTATCTCTAAGAGCATGCTGAACTAGATTGTGCGGGACCAACAGAACATCTTTCATCATGATGCAACCGTTGACAACCTTCCCTCGGACTCACTTCGGGGTAGTTACCAGAAACATTCATACCCGATTCGCGTGCATGTCTCACCTGTTCAAGTCATTTCAGAACGGCATCTCAAACCCAATGCTCGAAGCAAAGCACTTACAGGCTGGCCGGCCTTCATCACACTTTTTTTTGCGTTGGCGGCATATTTGACACCCAGTCTTCGTTCGCCGAAAGAATCGCCGGTTCCGCTTCTTCAGTCCTACCTGGCCACGTTCATTGACCGTTGGCGTAAGTACTGGCCCTCCAGATTGCATGGGGAAAGGCACCTGAGAACCCAACTCCAGATGTGGGTTCCTGCTGTCATTTGGAGACTCCTGGACGGGGCGGTCTAAATCAAGTTGTCGCAGAGCTGGCTGCCGAGGGGTAGAGAGGGCCTGGGTTGCTATTTGAGGTAAGTTTCCCGTGAAAACGATGCTATTAATACGTGCGAACCGGTCATACTCCGTAGGTGGGGCTGAAGTCGCATCGTTTGCTTGTGGGAGTGGTGTTGCTGCCTTCGCATCGACTGGGAATGACTTCAACTCCACTTGGCTTGACGGGGCTTCATCTGACAGGACATGCCGCAACGCCATTATCCCCCTGCTACTGTTACTGTTTGGATCCATGATCAAGGCCGGCGGGGACGAACAAGGAGCCCCCAAGGCGACTGATTGATGCCCACGATTCAAAATTTCAAATTCAGAGACCATTGCTGAACTGTCGTTCGATTTATGCCCGTCATTTCTGGCCGCTTCGGTGACTGCCGAGGGAGCCACCAAGACTGTCTCGGCTGTATCCTGCGAGGTTCTGGACTTACGCAAGTCTGAGCTATCTTGATGTGCAGCTTGTACATTTTGCATGGTAATGAGCGGATGGAAACTCTGTTGAACGCTGCCGTCATCGAAGCTGGTAAGGCTAGTCGTTGCCGTCGCGACGGGGGGTGATAAGGCGGATTCCAAGCTAGCAGTTGAGGGACCGGGATGATCGTAGTTTCTACCGACAACAGTTACGTCGGCGTCATATTTGCCTACTGCGTTGATGGCTGAGGTGCTGGACGTGTCGTTCTCCAACTGTATTGGCGTGTCTTTGAGGACTGTTTTAGACCGAGCTCGCTCTGCATCCGAGAGCTGGAAATCCGTTCCATAGCTTGGACTAGCAGAGCAATTTGAAGGCTCAACGCTCTCCCTCGTGTTTGGTGGGTCGAAATCGGGGGTCCTTTGTTGTGATTCGAACTCTTCTGTTCATTGAAGGTGGGTTGTCAGCTTCGTTGAGGACACGGAATCACACGGAGCATGTGGGTGGACAAACCAAGTATTCCTCTATTCTCTGTTTGTGTCTGACTTTGACGAGCTGGTGATTTTGCGACTTTGAGTCTCAGCAGCCTGTCATAGAAAGCTCGAGCAGCGCTCAAGCCCTTCACTGAGCGCGACTGAGGCTCGTCAAAATTGAGGGCTTTTATCGACTTCGCGCTGATCCAAGCAAGGGACCTCCCTGTGGGCACGTTAAAAGGGCCTTCCGCCGGCACTTCGAGTTCGTCGTCGAAAAACATGAAGGGAAACTTCCTTTTATGGGAATGGCGCCCGCCATCCTCGAAGCCTGGTGCCCAACCAGTAATTGATCGTTGTTCCTTGTCTGATGTATAACATGGCGGTATACAGCTGGCAAGGCCGGTGCCAATGAAAGTCCCGGATATCCCCACTTCGTTCAAATCGGAATGAGGGAGGCAGAGCGCTGCATACCAAGTCCGGGATCTCCAGCACACGCAGTAGATCACTCCGACTTGGGGCCAGGGGTCGATCACTTCGCGCATGACCGCGGCTTGGTTATTGTCGCTGACATATTGTTCTCGATGGCGACATGCATGTCTGAGATGATTACGACTTGGTGCCGAAGTCTTCACGTTTTTGTGGGCCTCCCTAGATGACTTCGCCTTCCGTACAGCGGCATTGTTCTTCTCTGCCTTTCCCTTGTCGCAATCGAGTACGCGAAGCCCAAAAAGGCTGATGACTACTTCGATACCCCTGGACTTCGTGGCGTGATCCGGGTTGCAGAGATGCCTGGAAGCACTCAAGACAGGCTTGAGCCCGAAGTCCATGTCATGCTCTTTGCACCGAAGGATATACCACTTGTCGGCGTCTTTGGGGAATGGAAAGATCATGTAACGAGGATGACCGTCGAAACCTTTATAGACTTCTTCGAACGTGATTGTCTCCTCGCCTTTGAGTCGTTTCGGTGGGGTGTCACCCGAGGCCTGGTGGTTTCGCTCGGCTCCGGCGCAGGATTGTGATCGCTGGCGCTTGCTAGATGTAGCCTGTCGAACGGAAGATGTCATCGAGCCACGACGTGTTGGCGGTGATAGGACGTCAATGCTCTGCCGCTCTGATATCTCGTCTGCGGCATCATTTGGCATTTGGGTGGCGCGGTGGGATGGATTAGAGCGCGTCTTTGGCGGTTCGGAGGTGTCCTGGTGCCATAATGCCGTTTGTCAGTGAGAGTCAAAGCGTGAGCGTGGTACAGGCTGGTTAGCCTTACCAGGTTGTAGGGCAAGTTTCGCAGATGAGTGTGTAGCGCAGCGGCGTATTCCTGCTTCCGATTCTGTACATCCGATTCGAATTGCTGTTTAAAAACCCGAATTTGATTCTCAAACTCGCGACGTGCCGCCTCTTCCTCCCTGCGGAATGCCGACTTCAGGTCGTTAAAGCGGCCAACCCATTGCTCAACTTCCTCGAGCTCTACCGATCGGTCTTTTGGGGACGTAGGACACATATCGAGTGCTGATTGAGTACAATCGGATGGATTAAAAGGGGGCATCGGAATGGAGGGAAGGCAATTCAAGCATCAAGTAGTCTTCAAGAACCTGTTGGCATGGCCCATTCGGAGGAGGGGGGATACTCTGCCGCTGAGTGCGTGCTACGCGCCGCACCTCTTCAATGGGAACGGTGCTGCAGACCGAACGTCGTTTCATATTGGTGAGACCTCCAATTCTATCTACTCTACTTGGGAACGTGACACTGCGCATAACGGGAAATGGTATGGTTTTGTGGGTTCACACGCTGTTGGTTCTTTTGCTTGGCGCCTGCACCCACGAGTCTGGCGTCACTTCCATGCAAAATTCTCCCGGACACGATTACCGGAAGAGGGAATGAACCGGTGACGACACGGCCAACGAAATAGCCCAGACGACGAATGAGCCTTGGGTTCAATTCTCAACGTCCGCTCGCTCTGTTATGCACTCGGGCAATTTGAGCATCACCCGGGGAAATGAACGACGATACCCGATTGGGTGGAAATATTCTTCTGCGGAGAAATTGTGGCTGTGGCAGCCTAACTAAGAGAGGATCATTTGGAGGTTGCAACCGATGGCAAATTGTGACGAACACCAAGGGCGACGGAAATAGCGTCCTACCTACCTAGTTCCGAGGGAATCATGCGGCGAGGTTGCCTTTCCTTCCATCCCCTGCAGTCACCCATCTTTTCCGCCATAGTGCTCCAACCAGTGCTTAGTCTGCTCTAGCGTCGGCGCTAGTTACCGTACAGTCGGGACCGGCTTTACATGATGCTTGATCACAATCAGACGGATGCCTTTCCGGGGAGATTGGGTCAACCCACACACATGACGCGTAGTTCGCTACTATGTACATTTACAATACATACCCCAGCTCGGCCGAATCTGCCTTGCCATCCAGGTGTTAGTATCAGGACTTACTATTGTTTGTCAGCAGACCCGAAAAGAATGGGGCTTCACACCCTGCGCCCAAATCGTTTGACGAGGATCAGGATAAAACAACTAGCAGCACAGGACAAGGTATCAGGGCAAAGTATGCATGTATCCTTGTTGGAACGAAAGGCAGTTTGTACAGCCCTGACTGGCACGAAGCACCCCTCACAGTGACACATCAGTTATGAGTCTTCCGATGATTCTACGAAGGAACCACTCAATTTCCATTTTGCGCACAACAAGAAGAAAGGACCTTGGGACGAGAATGGGCGCCGTTCGTTACTTCTTCGTTATGTTGCAGCCTATTCAGAAGCCTGCTAAGCATCGCAGCGGGTGTTACGAGCAGGTCAGAGCAACCAACTGCACCACAAGCAAACGCTTCGGTAATGACACCTGCATCGATATTCCGTTGGTTGAGCCGTAACAGCAGGGCTATCAAGGGTAACCAGATGGTCTCGGTCCGGCAAGGCCCAACCTATATTCCTGGGCGTTCCACACCAAATTTTGGCTCTCTGTCCACCACGGCCATGTCCCCAGATAACCTTGTCGCACAGCAGGTTGTCCAGTGCCACAACCAGGGCTGTTACTTCGTTGACGTTAAGTTTACTTGTATTTATGATCACATGAGTAAGCATTCTTGCAGAAGGGGCTCCCAATAGGCTCACGGGTACCCGTGAAACTTTACATGCACGGGTACCCGTGAGCCTATTGGGAGCCTGCAGAAGGCCCGATATCTGGTCAGCTCCGACCTCGGTTTTCATGACTAATCAAGCTACGCGTTCAGTCACAGAATAGAAAATCCATTGTCCTCATACATTTCGAGCCACACATCCCTCTGCCGTCAATTGTTTTCTGCTGCGAGATTGGCGCAAAAGGCGATGCTACTCTTTTACTTAAATCATGTTAATGCTTTCAGGATTGCCCCAGAGTGGCTTCACTCAGGAAAAGTAATTGCTCTCCACTAACCCGTATGCTCGTAGCTGATCGTTCCCCAAGTCTCCTTACCGCCCTCCAACTGTATCAAGAGCCCATCAAGCCCGTTATTACTGGATGGCAGGCAAATGTCAGCAATTTTTTCCTTCTCCTCTCTTCCCAGTTTCCCCTTCTAATTGAAAGCTAGGAGGACGTCAAGAATGCACTCGACCTGTTCCAACATCTTGCAAGGCTGGCCCGGGGGCGGCAAGACTGCAGCATTCTACGGGATTATGACTTGGAATCCAACAGTCGAGTTTTGGATTACAGAACGGGCACTGGTATCTGGGCGAGACAAATTGCCGAGTGAGAAAGCCTCTCGTCCCTGGAGGCTGAGACAGCTAACAATTGACACGTCATCGCAGAAGTCTAGACAGACGGTGTGGTCAAGTATTTGGCTTCGATACCACTTGCCTGCAGCCGCAAAAGTACGTTCCCTGTGAACTGTACTATGTTTCTTTGCTGATTCTATCCCAGGTCTTGTCTTCCTAAAAACCTCTACATTCTTTTGGGTGATGAAAATGACGCGTGGAGGCAGGCCCGCCAGTATGATGTTGTTCATACGCGAGCAGTCCTTGACGACAGCCGATATTGGCCCAAGTTTTACAGAGATGCGTATGATCATCTGAAACCAGGCGGTCTGCTTGAGATAGAAGCAGTCCAGTGGATTCTGCAAAGCGATGACGGCACCCTGCCCAATGACTCCGCCCTGCATCACTGGACTGGGATTCTGCATGGGAGCAAAGATGGCAAACAATATTTGGACTTTGAACACACAAAAAGTCAACTTGAAGCTGTTGGCTTTATTGCCTCGGAAGAGATTATTAAACTTCCGGTTAGTGCATGGGATTTAGGTGCGTCTGACGAGGAGAAAGAGATTGGCAATTGGTTCAATAGTTTCTTGAACTTGGTACTGCATACTCAGTGCTTCTCTCTACATGACTGGGGCTCGCAAGACACCAAGCTAGGGCTGGAAGGGTTGATGGCGCAAGCGAGAGAAGAGATTCGCCATCGCCAACTCCACACTTATTTCAGATTGTGGGTTTCCCGCTCTGTTAGTGATGCAAAGGAATCGTAAGCGCTGACATGATCGGCAGTTTTGTCTGGACAGCCAGAAAGCCTATGCACTCCACAGGAGGAGGAAGACCTTGGCAGCTCTGAGGTAACGTGGCATGGTACAGTGGAGAAGGATGTAAGGGCACCACTCAAGTTTTGGCTCCGAAACCATAGATGGGTACGGTCAACAGGAAGGCAATCGCTTCTGAGGGGTGAAAAGGCAATACGGAGAGGCAGCATTGGGGTTATGGCTGTGCGATGTATCGCCAATGCAACATGATTTTCGAATGAAGCCGCTGGAAGGCGCTTATGCTAATATCCAAAGAGTACACGAGACTCTCTGGTAATGAAATTGTTCCAAGTTCCAAGAACTGGCGTCAAGTCCCTCGCACTATTAACTTATAGTCAAGTATTTTAAAAACTTAAACGTAGAATAAAGATAAAACGGTAGTTATCTTTATTGCTATTCTAAACCATAGCTAAAAGTAAACTCGAGTGAGGAAATCTAGCTTATTGTTGGGTGGCTTGATTGATTGATTGATTCTCACATTATTATGTAGCCGCTAACATGTCAGCAGCTATGCCTGGCTAGCAGGGTGTCGGGTGAAAACATGGCAGCCAGCAATGTGAGACATATTACGCGCGTGCATTCCCGGTCATTTGTTGATGTGAGAGAATGAGTTAATCATTGTGACGCATATGGGCTAGAAGTTTGCCGTGTTGTAACTCATCCGAACCTGTTATCAGTGATCTGTGTGCGTGATCTGGGACAGCTGAGGTTTGTATAATTAGGTACTTCACCGACGTTTAAGCATCAACAGCGACCTTAACGAGATGGTGTCCCACGCTCAAATCTACAAGGCCTGCAAACATTCGGGCCTAAACTTTTCAAGACCGAGAACTAGCAGTGGCAAGAATCTGCTTTGTTTTAAGATGTCATCCTCGGCATTGGTTCTACATCTAAAGGGTCCTAGGTGTAATCGCAGAGCAGGCCCCGACAACAAAATAAGAGACAAAGTCACGAAGGACGACGTGTCAATAGTTAAACAACATCATCTCCACCACTGTGGGCGAGCCACGAACCCCCTACACGAAGCACAATGACCACGCCCAAACAATCAACGACAAAACAACAGCCCCCGACAGGTTCTGGGTCGCCTTTCAATCTTCGACAAGTCTGCAACGTCCCGCGACGATGACGAGTCTCACAGAACGGTTCGATGCCACCCAATACTACAGACCACAGATAAATTGACTTCCTGTTCCCCTTTCGTGAAGGATTGGTGTCCCTTGAACACACGTCCTGTCTGCGGACCTTGCGCAGAAGCTCTCATACCTAGTAATCGAACGAGCCGAACCAAATGGAGCAGTGTGCTTCGTGGATCAGACTTGAGCCAATGTAGTGGACGGCGGTAGTTGTCAACAGATACAGACAATAGGCAAGCCGGTGACAAAAAAAGTGATATACGCACCACCTCAATTCCAACTAGTCCCCTACTTCACTAAGGATATACCTCTACGGAAACCCGACTTCTTCTCTCTAAATTTCGGAAAGATTGAGATAGAGTGTTATTGGGTACGAGTGTCTTCAACAATCAGAAACACTTTGAATATTGAAGACGTCGCTGGTGCTGTTATGAAAGCAGTTGGCAGGAGAGTCTGATTCTGCGTGTCACCTTTTTTGTCACCAGCTTGTACGGCCACATAGGAACCCGGCAGGAGGCAACCAAACTTCGCAGACTCAATACAAAGCACACACGATTCCGAGTGGATGCGGACAAGACAAAGAGATGAAGCTAAGCACCGGAGAGAGACTATATGTATGCAGAACCAGGCATTGTGCCTAGCACCGACATAGCCGTAACATAAGGACACGGAAGGCAAATTCTAGAAGGCAAAACATAGAGGATATAACAGGCAGAAGGGCAAGACTCTTCAACAGAGGGCATAAACATACAGGATATATAGCATAGTGGGTGATTTGGGAGCAGCTAGCCTTGGTCCATCAACAGGGCGAAGTGGGATGTTGCGGTTTATGATGCTTCCGCCTCATTCCACCGCCCTTGTTCCCGGTATGTTACTGCCAAATTGGCCATGCTGCTGAGCGTATCGGGATGCTCTTCGCCAAGGGTTTTGTTCCGTAGCTTCACAGATTGAGCTGCACCCTGTTCTTCCTGTATCCACTGACCGCGATACAGGAAATAGCCCGTCAGATTGAGCAGAAGGAATGCCCTTAAAAGTCGCTCATAACGAGAACCAGCCCCCTTGTTTTAAAGCACAACATTTGCGTGGGGAAGGTATTCTTGGCAGATGTGCCGATTGAATGTACCGGCGATACCGCGTCCAAGCAACGGCCCAGGTACGAACTGGGAACGCAGCTCCCCCGCTGCCTTCTGGTCACGACCATGGCGCTACGGCCCACCGGAAACCCAGGGCGCAACCCCAAATCCAGCTTCCCGTTACCGCAACTCGTCTCCGACTCGTTGCCGACCATGTCTTGCAGATCAGAAGCGCAGAGCAGCCATTATGCCGACACAACTACTTGCACTCTGTCCACTAACTTAACTTATGTCTGCCGTATGATGTTTGATTGCGGTGCGCTGTGTCCTTAGGATCGGTCCGGCTGCTTTTCTTATGCTTGAAGCTTGACAAGTCTGTTGACACCATATCGATCCGCTGGTTTTAATATTGTCCATTACGCTCGACAGAGCACATAGGCTTGTTCCGAGCCCTCGTTGACTGACGCGCCAATGCCTCATGATGCTCGACTCGTCCGCCTCCCTAGCCCAGAGCCGGATGGGCCGGAGGGTGTCCTGTCTCTTTAACGACGTCAGCCAATGTTAAGTCGGATGGTTTTCTTACACCAGTATCCCTCGTATAGCTTGTTGGTTTCGGAACCGGCGTGGGTGGTGCAGTGGTCGTTGATCGCGTAGTCCGTTTGTAGGTTCGAGGGTGCCAATGAGAACTTTTCACAACACCATCAAACCGCGGTTCTCGACTGCGCGCGACGTACCACGCCAGCCCCGCTCATCCTACTGACACCGGACACCACGAGAAGGTCTGCCACATCGTCCTACTGCTTTTTCAAGCAGCATCCAGTGTGCTCACTGGAGGCGCATGGCATTTGTATGGACAAGACGTAGGGAAAACGGATGACTCCCCGGAAAAGGAAGAACTATGGTACATGTCACGTGGAGAAGAGACAAGGTGATCACTCTGCAGGACCTACTGACCGATCAGTGGATACAAGTGATCGATCAACGGATCCAGAGAAACGATCACTACCAATGACTTGGTATGATCAGGACAATAGCATCAGGAACAGACTTGTATATAGGATGGACTTGGATGGGCTCCAAGTCAGACTTCCATAGCTCTTCAGCAATCAACTTTGTGATTCACCCTATCATAGGTGACTCTTAGATTATCCTTCTGTTGTGAAGCTATACGAGCTACCTACACCTTGACGTGCACGACTTATCACCCTTCACCAACAGAGCCACAGATTATCAACAAGACCCGACTTACTGTTATCGAGTATCGACCTCAGCTGTCTGTTAGCAGACACCACCACTGTCGGATGTCTGACCGTAACATTCTGTTAGACTGTTACACAGTGATATATTTAAACTTGATGACGACTTAGACGACAATACTAATGCCAACGACAGCTAAAGCAACAGTTAAAGCGACATTGATAGTTCTAGTCATTGTCTTAGCCTAGACAGTGTTAAGGAAAACATTAACATGTTTAAGCGCTGCCGTTGGACGGATTGGGAAGAGGAGCGTCTGTGTGTATACGTTGAAGAGGGGAAGGAGTGGTCATGGATTGCAAAAAGGCTGCATCGAAGCGAGCCAGCTGTGACTCAGCATTGGGTGATCATGGAGAGGAAAAAAAAGGAGTCGGCAAAGTGATTCGTGGATACTTCTACCGAGTTACGAATGGCCTCGGAGGACTACCTGTGAGACTGATACCAAGCGTATCTAATCGAAGGCGGTGAATAATACAAACTATACCACCCAACACTACAGATGAGCCATCCAAACTGCAACAGAGCTACAAGTCATTCTGTATTCCAAGATAAATCCAATTTGCACCCGCGAAGCTGTTTTTTAATCCCAACACCCACCATCGTCCAACCTGGGAGAAGAGGACTAGTTAAACCGGGAATCGACCTCCAAGTTCCAGGTGCGGCACACTGGCCCAAATTCTCAGCCACTGCTCTCACGAGGAATTTATGGAGCTTTAGTAAGCCACACACGGCCAGAATAGCATCGGCTCTCTCCTCCCCGACGTATCCAAATTTGCCGTTGCTGACTTGTGCGATAGAGATCGCGGCTTGCGTTGAATCTGTTACTTTTCTCAGTAGGGATTCTGTCCGCCTTGTAACCGAGGTCCTGCTCGACAAGTCATGTATGCAGCGGAAAGCGATGCCGCTTTAGAACACTTCCCGCGGTCTAACCTAACAGGCCTTGGGGGTGCGTCTTATTCCTTGTTGATCCAAGCTGGTCTAAGCATGCCTTGGTTATCCGGCTTCCCGCATTAGGCCTGGAACACGAAGAAAATGAAGAGAAAACCGCCGAGATGGCTGCTGCTGCTGCTGTTAACGCCGCGGCCACTGCTGCTGACGTTGAGAAAATGCCCTAGAATACTCCCTGTCATGTATATTAAGCCTAGGGATGACACAGTTGCTGAGGCACTCACTAGGCGAAAAGTTGGGAGGCTGTATGCGTTTGGAAAGCAACAGATCTCGTGAACGGCGGATGAGAAGATTGTTCTAACTCTGAACAGTATGTTAGCAGCTGTGTGCTATCCTATGATAAGTCAAAACAAACTAGTTTATTTGGGATGTGACGCAGCGGTTTTCACAGTGTATAGAATAGAGCACTACAGGTCTGTTAGAAAGGGCATTGGAGGCGGATTGCGTTGTTGTTAACAACAATCGCTGCTTGTCAGGGTAGTGAGTTGTGCTGAGATATGTTACTGGCATCCGTGCTAGACCTACCGTCAACCTTTTCTCTGAATGCTCTTACAATGTGAGATCAAAACCGATTGCATTATCTTAACATTACAATCTTTCTTGACACCATCAATAGGCACCCCCGAACCATGTAGGAACTTAATGCTTTAGGTGCATCCCAACGTTGCCCAATTTCCCATCCACGTCCGTCATGTGGGTTTCTCCATTGTCTGAAGTCTCTGACAGCTTCAGACCTCGCCCGTAGCGCTCCTTAAAATCTCCGTTGGAGACATCTTGTATCACCAGGTCGTCGGCAGTAGAGAACGCACCATCTTGCGAAGGTGCGCCCTCTTTTCTGGTCCCCTGGAGGCTGATCCTTGAGATATCCCGCGACATCTGCTGGAGTGAGGCGTCGCTGAGGTGGCCACCCACCTGTCTCATCATCGAGCCATAACCCCTATTCTTGCCATGGATCGTCTTCCCATTGGTTGACACCAAAAACTGCACGGTGTCATCTCCAGTCGCATAGTTGTCGATGATGCTGATGTTTTCCTTTACATGATTCTCCGCACTTGAGCAAATACTGAGACACTGACGGGCGGTGTCCCACTCTTCTCGCAACGTGGCAAGCTGTGCCACTTCATGCTCTGAGTTCATCTTCGCCGCGGACTTTTCGATTAGTCGGTCCATCAACTGTTGCATGTGCTTTTCCAAATTTGCAATTGTTTGGGCAAGACGTTCCTTGCATGCTTGTAGACCATCGTTGGTGACTCGATCGGGATACGCCGCAGCATCCACAGAGCTGAGTGTCCTAGGCCCCTGGGATGGCCGTTGTTGAATTCGATTGATGTGATCGGCCAGCTGTGCGCAAATATCGAGACACTTTTGGGTACTCGCCCGCTCTGCCCTTATTCGCTGCAACTCCCTTGCATCCGAGTCGATCTCGGTGACAGTACGCTCAAAGACAGCCGCGAGCTTTGCATCAATACTGTCAAGACGGGCCTCGAGATCGTCGGTCGTTGTTATGATCATGGTTCGGTACTTTTCGAGATTCTCAGCGGTGGTTGCGGATTGGCGACTGTCCCAGCCAAATTAGAGGGGTTTTGCTTAATAGGAACACAAAACTCACAGATGTGCATCTGCGAGGGCAATGTTGATAGTTGACTTATATCCAGCGAGGAGCTGCGTGAAGTCGTCGACGCCATCGCCCATGTACTGTAGCTTTGTCCAGTCCCGGAAGCTAGTGCGATCGCCACCGGACCGTGACGAACACCGCAGAAGTTCCTGTTCAAACTCTTTGCAGGCGTCATCGCATCGTCGCAAAGGAAGTTCAAGGGCGGAGAAGTCCACGTCAGGGGTAGCGTTGATTGTTTCGGTCAGCAAGCGCAGTACTTCGCTCAAGGCCTGGAGCTCCTCCAAAAGGTCGCGCACGCGTTTGGGGTGAGCGCGAAAACCCTGCACTGTGGTGTAAAGAGCGATGCTAGATTTGAAAGCGAACGAAGCAAAGGTCAGCACACCCGAGGCCAGACCTACAGCTTCCGCCATTGCGTCAATGACTTTGTGATGTACGAATAGCGGCGGGGTCGGGTGAACAGTTCGTCACGGGATTGCCGGATTGGCATTGACTTACATAGTAGTACTTCCTGGCGGAGTCTCAAGGGCTGTGCGGGGTCCAATCAGATAACAGGCGGAAGCGCTTGCTAGCAGGGCGGAAAACCGGATCTCATTCTACTCGCTCAGCCAATCGAAGTCAGTCAAACACCGCCCACACTAAAGTGCCCGACCGTTAATGCAAGGGGCCCCAGCAAAGCAGCAAACTTGCCAACATCCAGGCAGGCTAGCGCCAACGTGTTGGCCACTGATAAGCTACTTGATGGCCTCAAATACAGTGTGCATCACTGGCAGAAGAGGTAACTCCTTACAATGCCGCTAGCATTCACGCTGTATACACTACGAGCCTACCATGTTAGCCTGCTGGCTTGGCTTACACACTCAGGGCCCGTTGTGCACGCGCCAGGACACTTGCCATGTCTATTGCACTGCAAGACTATGGAGTAGTTTCATTGCAGATATTGTAAGCCCAGACCGTGATCTACTTCGCCATTGGATGATAAAGCCTTCAAAGTGTTCGCACTGGCAGCGTAATGTCAGAAAATGCGTAGCTCATCCACATCGGGTTGTTCGCTGCTGTTCCTATGCAGGAAGCAATTCGATCAGCGACATGACTTCCGGAGCAGCTTCTTATCGGACCGTGAATGTTACAGTTTGCGTGGTCCAGTGCCTGGTCTCGGCCGTATGCCCTGTGGCTTGCCATTCGCTATCGGAGGCCCACTTACAGGACAGACCCAGTGCTGATCGTTATGAGGTACAGGGGTGTCTCGTCTAACAGCCCTCTGCCGCGTCTGTGAAATCTCAAAATCCACCCCGTCCTCCGCCTCACCGTCACGCAAACCACATCATGAACTTAAATGCACCACCGAACTCAGACTCTTTGACCAAGCTTCATGAAAGTGTTCGGAGACCCATCAATGAAGCTATCCGCACCCTGCCGCTAGACCCACAAGAGGGCTCTACCAGGAATGCAATTATGATTCTCCTCCATTTGCTGGCAATGGTTGTCAAGCGGCAGGGTCGTTGACTTAGCAATTCCGACAAGGAGTTCAGTGATATCATTGATCGCCTTGAACGCAGCTTGCAAAGCCAATTCTTCTGGCATCAAAGGGCAGTCCTTGGTGATGACCTTATCCCATGGGTGCGGACTCACGTCATTTTTGCCAAGGTACGAAGAATGCCAGTCAGATTCACTGCCAACACACTTTTGTCCAATTGAAAATTACATATAGAATGGCATTTGAAGAAATAATGGAGAAAGGCAAAATGACGTGAGTCCGCACCCGATGGGATACGCTGGTCGAAGTACAACGTGGTATCTCTCAATCTTGCTGATGTGTGATGAGACTAAACGGGTACGATTTTGACTTTAACAGACATGGTGCGGGCCTCGCGATGGAATTCAATAGGCGTGAAGTTGCGGCGACGATCCAGTCAGGCGGTTCTTGATAGACGTCGATCCAGCATAGACGGAGGGCTTTCTACATTACTTTAGCTAAGATGTCTTTCAGACACCGTAGAGAACAGGCGTGCCGTTAAGATACACAACATTGGCGATAATCTCGTAGTTGAATAAGCAGTTGTTGTCCTTGAGATTGAACTTGAATTGGCTGGGGAACTTTCCGTGCAATTGGCACTAGTCACAATATTGTGCCAGGTGTTCGAGTACCCAGTCTCTAAGGTATGGGCCGACCACTAGTTAACAATCCGGTATACATCCGGCATAGGACCTTCGGCTCTAGCGGTCCGGGCCTGGGCGGGGGCCAAGGTCTGGCCGGGTCGGCATTCAAAGGAATCTGGGATACGGAGCTGGCGGAAGAGTATTGTTTGGAAGCAGTCCCAGTCCATATATTATGCAAATGCAAACGCAGGGCCAATCTCCTGCGCAGAGCCCTCACGATGATCACTTCTCCCAATGTCAAAGTCGGATGGGTCACTATCGGTAATGAAATGAATGGCATTGTAGATGCATAAGAAGTAAATTAGTGCTTGCCATCGGCCTGAGGAAGGTAGTAGAGACTCCCTAATTAGAGCGACGGCCGGATGTGTGTGATATACATCGGAATGTGCTACCCCATAGCACCGCCCAATCATATCACTTAATTTATAGCACATACCCCAATGACCTACAAAAAACAGCACATGACTTAATCTGACGTTGAGATTTTGCCAAATGCCAATATCTTTATCAAGAATATGCCACATCCTGTTTTCTGGTCCTAGGGAAGACTCCTTCTGCCCCATACATTATGGCGATTACAGCATTGTTCTACCAACATCCGACATAGATCAAAATCCCCATCCCCGAACAAATATAATGGCTTCGTCCACCTCCATCTCTCGTACAAGACTGGTGTTAATCTGCGATGGTCAAACATTCGAAATTGCGGACGCAGCAAAGCAGCAACCCGACTTGATCCGCAAGACTGTCTTTGGAGCCCTCCGGTTATTCTGCCTTTCCGATTCACAACTCGTTCTCATACAACTTCAGGAGAAATTCCGACGATCGATGCAATGCCAACGAGACACGACTCCATACCGTCTTGCAGCCATTATATCAGCATGCAAGGACGGGACCATCGGACCGCACACCCTGGAGGCAAAGTTTTTCAAAAGCGGAGGAGCTTCAGCTGTCGCAGCTCTCGCAGCAGCTGCTGCAGATGACAAGCAAGTCATACCACTTTTAGCGAATTTGGGTGATGAGGATTTCGAATCACTACTAAGATCCATCGAAGAAATCGAACCCCATGCCGATCTACGATTTTTGACTGAGAGAGTATGTCGCCTCAAGAAATTGGCGCCGACAAAACGGAAACACGTTGCTGGCCCTCGATGCCGAAGCAAGCGTCCACTAGTCAAAGCACCAGTTGAGAATCCAATTCCCTTGTCTTCTTGCACGAAAGAAGTGGCAGGTCATCTGCTGGAACCGGAAGGATCCAGACGAGGTGAACACATCCAACTTGAAGAGCAGTCTTCGCAGAATGTTTCCGCTCCGGAATCCCTGCACTCCAACCCTTGCTCTGACATAGAGGGCGAGGATACTCCAAGTCCTGAAGTTATGGAATCACGCACTTTGCAATGTTTTGGCAGCAACCTCTGTCGCTATTCAACACCTGAACACCACTCGCTTATTGACGACAATCTTGATCAGTTCCTCGTTCCACGTTTCTTCACAGATCATATCGAAGTTGACTCGGTATCTCGTGGAGTTCTGGATGAGGTTGAGTATTCGACATCTTCAGGAGACTTGGCATAAAAAGCGAAGACAATCGTTGTCCCAGGCTCTACAAGTATCCTTCCAATCTTTACACGGGTAATTATACCACACTCCAAACTCAGGTCTCCTACTGTCGGTGGTCTGCCCGCAACATAAATTGGAACGATGTCCATTTCCCTGGAGATGGAGATGGTGCACAGTCCTTGAACTCGAAGTATGTTTCCTGAATCTTGTCCTGGGTTTATCTTTTTCTCTTTAGTGGTCAGTAAGTTGACCGATGCTGCAGTTAAGCTTCTCTGACCTTGTTGTCCATCACTAGGGCATTCCACAGTGATGCTCTCAAATTCTTGAATTTTGGAGTCATTTCACTAATGGTAGACACTCCTTCAAGCTGACTTTCTTTCCATTTGACGGTATCCAAATTTGCTGCCACGTCATGCAGAAGAGAGGGTATGATATCGAGTCTTTCCTGTCGAGCTACGCTGACCATCGTTGCGTGCAGAGATTGAGGAGGGTTGGCCCAGCGCCGTTCTTTGTCCTAGTCAAAAATGGGTTAGTAATCTCTGAATGTTGACATCAGTTTTTCTAGCACTCACATGCTGTTAGGTTTTCATCCCGATGCTGTCTGAGCAGGATATCGTCGACCGAAACACGGCTATCGAACCCCGCATCGTGGCCTGGATCACCTGCACGTGATTTCAATCACCTGAGCTAGGAATTTGACCCGCTCTCGGATGGCTATCAACTGACCCATAAATGTGACAATTAAACCACGACGTTGCTCGTAGTCAATGTCAACTAAAGCATCCGTTTGGGATAAAATCTCGGCGCTCGTAATCGACCAGACTTTATGGCAGTACTATTGCTGCTTTTTCTCTTTCTCGAAAAGGACAAAGGCTGCGTGTTGAGAGACATGAGTCGCTTTAGTGTAATTCTACACTATAGCACGTGAGCCCGCACGTGAGAGATTTGACCCAGCAGAATTTTCTTACCCCGCCACGAGAGAAGGTGCTTACTGTCGAATTCTTCGACCGCTCAAGGAGTAGGATCTGTTACACCAACACGAATCGCTGAGTGCTCTTCTGCATCTCTTGTCATGTCTTCGAAAACTTTGACCGTACTTGGTGGCCGCGGATCGGGCAAAAAGGCTACCATCGGAAGTCTCATACTCAAGGTATATCAAACTGCCCCAAAATTGACTTGCATGCTAAATAGGAGCAGTGCGGCCTCGATTTGATGCAAGTCGAATATTTGGAGAGGAGCGGAGTCAACTCGTACAATCAAATCGTACCTTTCCTCGAGAAGAATGGCATCGCCCGGACGTTTCATGCTACCTCGGGCCTTTTCAACATTGAGAGTAAGTACCTTGGATCCAGTATATCACGTCGCTGACATTCATAGCAAGCACTTGTCCAGACGTAGCATTGTGGGTTGTTGATGCCACCGACTCTGACAAAGGACTCGCCTCGAGCGACGCGTTGGCATTGTTGCTGTCCAAAGCACAGCTACAGCCGAAGGAACAGCTTGTTATCCTCATCAACAAAATGTTGAAGCTATTCTAAACCTTTGACAACTTGGCGTCTATGGCTAACCCAGGCATTTGGCAGGGATTTGGTGGATTGGTCTGAATCAATCTTCTTGAAGTTTGTGGATGCTTTTAGCAGCAAAGCACAACTGTTTTCGACGAAGTTAGTAATTCACCCATGAGGAGCATCTT